TTTGTATTTTTTTTATTTTTCAATTAAATCTTAATCATATTGCTGAAAATGAGCAAAAAATGAAAATTTTTTTTATCTACCATTAAAATATTTAACGATAGAAAATTTAATTAATTTTGTAATAATAGCTTAATTTGTTTTATTTTTTATATATATTTCTTAAATACATATAACATTATATATTTAATGTAATTTATATATAAAATATAATTTAAATGAAAGGGGTACTATAATAAGATTAATTAAATTGAAATTCACTTCATATATTAATAAAAGAAAAGAAATTTAAATGAAAAATTAATTGATAAATTATAAGTATAAATTTGCGTTGATAGAGCGCCAATAAAATGTAGATTTTTGGATTGAAGGAGTGCTCTAAAACCTTGACATAATCGTAGTTGAATTGATTTACAAATTCTGATAAATATCTAACGTTTATGTATTATGGCATTTTATCTGAGATAAAAAAAAATCTTTACACGTATTAAAAACGTAATTTGGATATTTTTTAAACCCATTTAAAGCTGAACGAATTTTTTTGATAAATGTTTAATAATAAGGCGTCTACTAATAATTTCAAAATTTATTTACGTACAAAACTTTTAACATTTACCTAAAATATAATCAGAATACATAAGCAGACTTTAAAAAAACATTTAAAAAAATGAGATATTTTTGAATTGAATTCATTTAATTTAATCTTATTTTAGAACACCAAATGAACACTATTTTAATTTAGAAAATAAAATATTTGATTTCATTTTATTTTCATGGGTTTTTTTTTTTGTTTACTTTACTTTTTAATTTTTTTGTTTCTCTACAACTTTATGTGTGTTTAAACATAAAAATATAAAAAAAAGGAAACTTCAAACAGAAGTGCCTGTTCCATTGTCATTATTATTCTTTTTGGTTTTTTTTGGCAAATAAAATTTTTGGCACATTATTTTAAATTAAAATTCTATTGATTTTTTATTTTGTTTCATTTACTATTAATACTTTGGATTTCATTTCTTTATTTATTTTTATGTATTTATTAATTAATTTTATTGATTTATCATTAATTTATAATTATTAATTCATAAACCTTTAGTACAAAATCGTTGATTACATAATTTAGGATTTATTATTTTTTAATTATTTAATTATATTTTATTTATAAATTTTTCTTACTAAAATTATGTATTAAATACATAATACTTTTATCATACTTAACTTATTATTTAAGTAGAAAATAAAAATTAAAAAAAATACATAGGTAAATTTTCTAACTAAATTTTTTTTCTCTTTCTCTTTTTCTCTCTCTCTCTCTTTTCTTAAAAATATCAAAAATAAAAAACGTTTATCAAAAATAATTTTTACTTTTTCATAAATTTTTTCTCATCCTGTTAATATTTCTTATACTTGTTAATTTAAAATAAAATATTATGAGTGTCATATAATATTGCTCAGGTATTTCATTAAAAATTAAAAACTTAAAAATTAAATGTTAACAAAAAAGTAAGAAGAATTATTGAATAACCCTTAGAGAGGGCCCTTAAAAAATTTCAATTTCATTTCTTATTTTGCCTTAGATATTGAAGGGTCTGATTAAATTTATTTTAATAACAAAGTAATTTTTAAGAAAAAAAAATGAAAATAAAATAAGGAAGTAGGAATTAATTTGACAATATAAAAAAAAATAAAAATAAATTTTTCATTTTTGACATTTTATAAAGTATATAAGGTGTTTGGTTTTTGTTTTTCATACATTTACAAAAATAATTTTTAATTTCATACTAAATAAAAAGTTAGGTATGACGATGTTCTCTGCTTTATATATATATTTTTTTTAATATATTTTATTTTATTATGTGGAATATTTTTATTTTCGAAAATTATTTAAGCTATTTAATAAATTAATAATTATAATTTAAATAACATTTCTTAATTGAACTTATACTATACATATACATACAAGTGTACATATACTAATTATGTGGCATATATGGACTTCGGAATATAACACCGGAATTTAACCTTAGTTTTAATAATTTCTTGAATTCTTGTAATATTTTTCTTGAAAGAAATTTTGTACAATATGTAGCTATTGCAGTTTTTTTTTTTTTTTTTGAAAAACAATCATTTTGAATGAAATTCTAATACATAGGTAAAATTTAAAACTTTAAAAATATTAAATAACAGGGCTTTAACTAAATTAGGTAGTTCAAAATATAAGTCAAGTACATATGGAAAAAAAATAAATTTTTGTTTACATATCTATAGAATTAATAATTTCAACTCTTTTCCGGTCATAATAAAAAAATGTACGAAAAAAACTAAATTGTTAATAGTTTTCGACATTAATGTGAGACTAACAACTCATTTTTATAAATAAAGTGCAACGGGCTGCTGTAAACGTTTTTAGTCAAACAGAATATGACACTTGTTTAATATTTTATTAAGTTAAGCTAAAAAATGTAAAAAAAACATGTGTTATATAATTTTATAAAACATTAAATTTAAACTAGTTTTTATATTAGGCCCAAAATTTTATATTAAATATGTTATTATTGTTAATACGAAATTTTCATAAGATTGTAAATGAAAAATGCCCCATAAGAAATTATTGAATGTTTCAAAAAATCTATTTGGCTTTTTTATTTGCATCAACAAATTGCTTATTTTATAGCCAAAACTAAAATCGATAACATATTTAAGTTTAAAATCTATTTAATTATTTAATTATAACTTTAAAATCATCTCTATTTTTTTATTAATGAGGTTAAATATTCATATATTTCTTTAAAACTATTGTTTTTAATCACGAAATCCATAATGCATTGATAAAAAAAAATATAAAATTAATTGAAGCTAAAATATAATTTTGTTATATTGTGTTTTTGATTTAATCAAATTTGAAATTATTAATAAAATAAGTTTTTTTATTTATGTTTTGTTAAATTTAATGCGAATATTTTCGTTTCTTAATTATTTATGTATTTTTTTTTTTTAATATTTTTTATATTTTTTTTCTAAAATGTATGAATGTGAGTTTCTTGTGTTTTTTTTTTCGCTAGTAACTATTACTTATTAAAGTCAAATTTTTTATCTCAACTAAAATAATTTTCTAAATTCAAAGTGATTTTTTTTAATTTTTTTTTAATTTTCATTACCTATTAATGTATTTTTAACATTTTTATGATTTTTGTTTAATGTATTTAGATTTTTCTTTAACTTTATGAATTTTCTTCACCATTTTTTCTGCTTTTAAATACCAATGAATTCAATTAAGCAGTTTTTGTTTTTTTTTGTTCTTTTTTTTTTAATTTTTTTAAATTTATTTTTAATTTTTTCATAATTTTTCTTATAATGAAGTTTTTTCATTATACTCACTCAAAAAAATGTTTATATAACTTTTTTTTATGTTTTTTTTCTTTAATTAATAATTAGTACTAAATTAATTAATTTAATTAATTTTTGTAATGTGTGTGTGTGATTCCTCATTATCAATAATAATGTTATTTTTTAATGTTTTTTTTTGTTTTTAATTTAATATTTTGTTTGTTTTTGTGTTTATAAATACAATTAGGTATAGTGGTTTTTTTTTTATTTTTATATTTAATTATATAAATTTTCTATTACATGTATTTTATTTTTTTTAATAAATTTATTACTTTTCTAGTTTAAAAAATTTTTATTCATTTTTTTTTTTGCATTTTTATTTTTAGTAAATAATTTTACATAAAAAACATCTTTTTTGTCTATTTCAATTTTATTTATAATAATTTTTAATTTATTTATTTTTTTTTTCAATTAATTTTATTAGTAAAGAAGGAAAATATTTTTTTTTATTTAATTTTATTCAATTTTATTTTGTTTTAATTTTATTTTTGTAATGAGAATTGAAAGTTGAGAGTTAAAATATTTAAAAAAGTAACTTTGATTGGCATTAAATTAGCATAAATATAAATAAAGTTGTGGATATTATGACATATTCCTCATGATAATAAAATTTGTATCATAAAATTATTTTTGATTGATAAAATTTTTATTAAATAAAAAATTAAATTAAAAGGATTATTATTAAAATAATTAATGGAATATTGAAAAAACCATTCAAAATTTTTCATTGCTTAAATATTTACTTTTATTTTCTGGTACACACATCTATTGAATTAAGTAAAATATAAATTTATTTATATTTGCCTGTTTATACAACGACTAAGTTTTTAAGTAATTTAACGTACTTTCAATATACGTACATATTATGTATGAATTTTCGTTTTTTTGTTGCTTAGATTTTTTATCTTAAATGAATACGTCAAGCACGTGAATACTAGAATACACGTGCACATATCATGTCAAATTATTAACTTTTCCAAATTTCAACAATTTCTTTCAAAATTTCATTTTTTTTTAAATTGATTAATTACTTTGAACAATTTAATGTGTACATAGTTGGTAGATATTAGCACAACAGTTATTAAATTTATTTGAAATGTGTATAATAATTTGTACTTTCATACATATTTTTCTAGTGGTTTCTTGATTTCTTCACAATAAAAATCTAAGATTAAAATAGTAGTTATACCACATATTTAAAATTAATAAAGAAATTATGTGAAATTTAAAAAGAATACTAATGAAAATTAAAATAATTAGATGGATACTACTAAATACTATAAATTAAAATGAAATTAAACTTGTTACAAATTTTCAATTTATTAAAAAAATAAAATTATAAAATAAATTATTTTTCTTCAAATTCTCATCACACCAATAAAATGAACTACTTTATTATAATTATTTACTATCATCAATTTATATTTAACAAAAAACAAAAGATTTTGTTTCCTTAATTTTTTTTCCTAACAAAAAACAATATTACATATCATAACAAAAAATAGAATTATCAAATATTTAAAAAATATTTTTTTCTTATTTCTTTTTAATATTTTTTATATAATTAATACAATTTTATTTATGTTCTTTTCTTTTAATAATTTGTTTATTACTTGATGAATTTTCTTTTTATTTAATTATTAACCTTTGTTTTTACTTATACAAATTATTTTTAATGTGTGTATGTATATAATTTATACATATATGATAATATGTATGTGTATATCTATATAGAAGAATGTGTACTTGGCTACACACTTAGGTATATACATATAAATATACATAATTACTTGAATCTGTATGTATAAACATATATTATATAAATATATAACTTCTGTCTGTTTGGTTTTTCTGTTTTTTTATTTAATTTTATATCTATTTTATAATTTTTATTTATTTATTTTATTTTTTATTTAATTGATTAGATCCTATCTTCTTCTTCTTCTTCCTCTTCAGGCTCATCACCATTTTCTTCGATTTCTTCTTTATAACCAGGATGCTCAGATATAGCATAATAATTACCGTTATATATAACACCTAATTCACGTAATGCATCACCACGTATTGTTGCTTTTATCGTCCAATTATAGCAATCATCTGATTCTGATTCACGATCTAAACGTTCAACATCTAATATTTTTGAATTTAATCTTTCTAATATAATTCCAATATCTTTGATACTTAAATGACGTTTTTGATCAACTGATAATTGATCAATTAATAATAGGAATTTTTCAGTTGTTGTTTTGTCATCTTCCATAACGGTGTTTTCTGTTTCACTTTCTGAACTATCACGTTCAGGAGCAATATCTAAAAATCGAACATGTTGTCCTTTAGCACCAGATGAACGACGTGACATACTACCACTACCGCTTGTATCACTGATACCCAGTCCACCCATTGCACCTGTTAAACCGCTTACACCTAAACCACTTAAACCGCTACTAGATATTGTAATTGATTGCGGTTGAGGACTAGTTGTACCATCTTGTATAGGTGACGTAGCAACTGATTTATGTACAGCTATTTTACGTCCCTCTTCGTGTAGGGCACAACAATGAAAATCACACTCAGTTGTACTAGGTGAACCAGCTCGACTTGGTGTATGAACATGATGTGCACATTCCGGTGTATGCACATGTACAGCATTAACAGCACTATCAAAGGAACCATTACCTTTCGATAGGCGACGGCTACTACTCGGGTGATATATGCTTGTTGGTCCTTCATCGCTAATAACGGTTATTTGTGGACTAGGATAACGTTGTTGATGATGCAATATTGATGCTGATGATGTGGATGATTTGTCCAGTGAATTTTGTGCAGATAATCCTTTTTTCGATGGTGAATATTTATCCGATGACAAAGGCCCATTACTTGGTACACCAATGCCACCACTACCCATACCCCCCATATTGCTGCTACTTTGGCCTCCGCCGCTACTTCCACCACCTTGACGTTGGTCCCAATGAAGAACCACCGTAACTCGTCCCTTATTATCCATAATTTTCCAAGATGGCGTTTCATCGTGAAGTTCTAAAGCATGAATCGTCTCACAGACGATTTTAGGTATAGCTGATATCGCTAAAATTATTGCATATATTTATAATTTTTCTTATTTTAAAAGAATTTATAAAACAAAAATTATTTTACCAGCTTTTATTACATCAACTCCTGTAGGATACCACCGTTCACCTTGCCTTAGCAATAATAAAACGGTATTATTTGCAAGTGTTCTAAAATATTCTCCATCTTCTATTTGGGTTCCATCGCACTCGAGAACGACACGTACTGGTTCTGAGGCAGGAACCCCAAGTTTATCTTTACCTAAAACGAATTCAAAATTGATTACATTACATAGAATATTTTTTATTGATGGCTTAGAAACTTACCTCGTACTATTAATTCCTCAAAGCTTCCAACAACTACGCCTTTACGGACATTTCGCCAACTATCCCAAATTTTTAGGGGTCTCTTGCCGCGAGACTCCTATAAAAAGAATTAAAAAAGAACATCTTTAAGTTTCTATTAACAACATAATAAAGTATGATAAAAGAAATAAATATAAAGTAATTCAATAAAAAATTTTAATTTGTTTTGGAAATTTTGAAAGTTTATTGATTAGCCCTCCAAATTCTTACTGCATACTTACATTTACATGTGTACTTATACATACATATATATATACATATATTATGTATATTTTTATGCCTGTAAGTAAGAACGTACGTTCTTACGTATATGTATGTATTGAACTATCTTCAAGTTTTTTTATTTTTTTTCAATAAATTATTCGCTGTTTCTCAGATCGTTACAGCATTGTTTTAAATTTTTTCAAATATAATATACTACAAATTTATAGGAAAAATCTTAAATGTTCAATTGTTCAAGGCAAAAACTAATAACACCTAACAGCGACATCTTTAGTTCAGATTTTCTAAGATAGTTAGATGCGTTTACACCAGTGCGTTAAAAAAAGTTTAACTACACGCAGTTTGGTTAATAGGACTGACGTTCATACACCACTTATGTTTCAATCCAGTTTCAATCCACATATACCTGTAGTAGATAAATTAGTAAAATTTATGAATAAGTTTAACCACTATTGTTGCGAAGAAAGGGAATAAGAGGATTTCAGCTATTGTTTTTCAAAAAAAGAAAAAAAAAGCTTATATTGTCTTTCATGCGAACACTGTCAAATTTCCTCTCTAGCTATACAGACATTAAATGAATTTAATATAGATTATCGGGTATCGCGCATTTTTTTAGCGCGTAGCTACAAATGTCAAGTTTGTTGGGCAATGTTAAATTAATAGTATTTGTGTTATTATTTTTAATAATAGTGTTAGTATTATTGCATTACTATTATTATACCGTTATTAACAAATTAGGCAGAATGTATTCATTATAATATTTTTTGTTTTCGCTTCAAAATCGCTTTAAATTTTCGCTTTAAAATAGATTTTTTTTAATTGAAGATTTAGAATTGTCATAAATTCTTTTATATAACACATGCATTATTATGCAAGCACATATCTAAAACATTAAAATGGTTCCCAATATAAAAAAAAAAACAATTTATAAAAAAATTTATGAGGAAGGCACTTTGTGTATACGAACAAAATAAAATCAAAACAAATACAAATTTTCAATTACCCCAGCTGGTTGTTGTGTGGTAGCTGATCCTGCTGCTCCTTGACGAAAACTTAAGCAGTTACAAATTGGTTTTGTAACGCCTAGTGTACAGAGAGCAGCAGACCACATACTTGCGTCCTTTTTTAGTGCCACTGTAGCTATTTTTTTTTCTCTTTCAAATCAATATTCAATATTATAAAGTTATTCGTTTTGTTTAAAAACGTGTAATATTTGTATATAAGTAAATACGTGTAGGAATTAATTGTTTTGTTTTAAATATAATTAATTAAAAAATAATTAATATTTTTAGTTCTCATAATTTTCGCCTTATAATTGATTAATTTTCATCTTGTAAAATTTGTTTTTTTTTTTTCGTTTAGCTTCTAGTTTTTTAACCGTGTAGTTAATTTACATTTATAATTGTTTTTATTCTTTATTTTGTATTAATTACATTTTGTTAACTTATATTTTATAAGCTTTTTAGTTTTAATATAATCGTTTTATTAATATAATCTAATATTAGGTGTTTTAATTGGCAGTGATTTTAGGTAATTTATACTTTGTTGTTATTGTTTGATAGTTGAATTTAAAATTATATTGAATTTTATTTCTTTGTTCTTCGCTTTTTAATTTGTAATTTTAGGATGATTAATGAATATTTCTACCATATATAATTTAATATTTCATATACTTATATTATAATAGTAATGAAAAATTGTTGCAAATGAACAATTTCGAAAAAAAAAACTATTTTTATATTGCAAAATTTGTTTTTTTTTTTTCCTTTTCTAAATTAATTTAATTATATACTATAGTTGAGCTTTTGTTTTTTTTTCTTTATTTATTTTTCTTTTTTATATAAATGTGAATTACGTATTTTATTTAAAAAACTATATTTATTATTTTTATAGAGTTAAAGAAACATTTTTGTAAGGCAACATTTATTTTAACGGCAATAACAACAACGTTTTATTTTTTTTTTGTTTTCTACAATATTTTATCATGTTATATATAGTTTTCTTTATTATTATTATTATTATCAATTTCAAAGTTTAAATACAAAATAAAAAATTAATTAAATGTTTGAATAACTGTTTTATTTTTTTCTTTTGTATTTTCTATTATTCTATATTATTATACTTATTGTTATTTATTTTCCACCCCTATATATTTTAATAGCTAACAAACTATATTTTAATTTAATATTAATAATTCTTTATTTCCAGTTCCAGAACTGTATACATATATATAGATTTATGTTAAATTATAATATTGACGCAAGTAAGCCTTTCTTCACCTTCTATATATACGTTATAGGTTAATTTCTACATTTCTATAATATTAATTTAAGATGAGCTCTAAAAAATTAAATATATTGTTGAACATTTTTTTTATATTATAATTTTATTCTATATGAATTTCTTATTTAATTTATTTTGTATTAAAAATATAATTAATTGTAAAATGAAGTCATAATGAAATTAAAAAAGAAGATTTTTATATAGTTATATTTATTTGTTTTGTTTGTTTGTTAATTGTTTGTTGGTTGCAGTGCTAATGCTCTTTTTATTAAATATTATATAAATGTCATACAAATTTAAATTTTAGAAATAATTTTATATTTATATATATATATATATGTATGCATATATGTTTTTAGTTAAAGAATATCACAATAAAATGAACTTTTATTTTTGTTAAGTTTATTAATTTTTTCCTTTTTTTTTGTGAAAGAATACTATGTTTGCTTTTCTTCTTCTCTCTAATAAGTGCTTCAAAATTCTTATATTATACAGTTTTCTTCTCAATTAATTATTAATTAATATTCATTTTTATATTTCTATTTGTAATTATTATATATAAATATTATTGTGTATAGGTATAATTTTTATTGCTATTTATATATTTATGTAGTTTCATAGATTTCTATATAAATTTTTTTATGTACAAAATAGCTGTATATTTAATAATAATAATGATAATATGGCAGTGTTCCGATTATCATTTTTTATATTTTTTGTTATATAAATAACTAGATAATATTTAGAAAGGAATTATTAAAAAATTTCTTAATACAATATATGCGTAAAATTTCCTGTTATATTTTTTGTTAATTTTTTTTTTCCAGTTATTTTTGTTTCATTGCTATTTTATTTATTTTATTAAATTGGTAAAAAAAAAATTTGGAAAGTAGAAAACATAAATTGTTTGAAACCCATATATGATTTATATTTCCATAAAAATTATTATTTTATTCTATATTTAATACTAACTATAATGTTTTTAATAAGTACGTATATATTATTGGGTTTTGTTTTTAAATCAGAGAAAATTATGTTTTTATTAACACGAACACTTATATTTTATACCAATAATTATATTTTTTAACTTATATATTAACTTTAACTATTATTGTTTACTTATTTATTTAATTAATATATTTAATTTATAAAGGTCATTATATAAATTTTTTACTTATTCATTTTTTTTTTATTTCTTTTTCATATACATTTCTTTAAGTTTTTAATGTTTCTTTGTTTTTAAATCTATATTATTTTTAATTATTATTAATTCACATTTAAACAAATTTTTAATTTTCTTTTTATTTTTTCACAAACCAATTCAGTCTTTGAGATCTGCAATTAAAAATAATATTAAGCACAAATAATATTCAATTAAATTCAAAATGAATTATTGAAAATTATATAACGTTTTAAAAATTATAATAGTTAATTATATTGCTAATATAAATAGTGAATAATTAAATTGATAACATATTTCAAGTATTGTAATAAATTATTATATTTTATTAGTTGTAATAATATTATTAATTAATATTAATTAATTTAATTTTTATTAACAAATTTTCATAATCTTATACAATTCGAATTTATTCCTATATTATATTTATATATAAATAAAATGTAATATATTTGATATTGAGTAAAATGACTTTTTTTTTAAATTCAAAATTAAATTTAGAATATTTGTTTTTTATTTTTTTATTCAAACTTTAATTTTTTTCAAAAAATTAGTTTATTAGTGCATAGATTTGACATTTATAATAAATATTTATAACAACAAACTCAATAAGAAAGAATACATTTTTAAACTGATTTTTGTAAAGACGGTAGAGAAAAATAAAAATAAAATAAAAATTTTATGAATTCAAATAAATAATAAAATATTAAAACATACACACACATATTCAGATTCAAATCTGTAGATGCATTTTTATATGCATACAATAAAATAAAAGAAAAAACAAAAAAAAAATAGTATTAAAAACTAGGGCAAGGCTATCATCATACTCATATATAATGACCTAAAAATATATACGAATGAAAATTGGCCTATTCAACTGGCCTGGGTATATCGTATATAGTAAAAGAATTATCAACAACAGCAACAACAACATCGCTGAAAACTACACAACACTAATAACACCAGAAGAGTATACAAAAAAATAAAAAAAAAATAATTACCTACAATTTTTATAAAAAGAAAAGAAATATTTTATTGAAAAAAAAAATACAAGAAATTAAAAAATCTTAAACAAAAGAAAAAAAAATACTATAAAAATGTTTTTTTTTAAACATCAAAAGCACGATTTGATCTTATTTTTTCTTATTTTGAATGTTATAATTAAAAAAAAAGCAACAAAAAACGTACACAATTTTATTGTTATAACAGTATTTTCATTTTATTTGTTAACCGAAATTTATAAATTTAAGTCGAACATTTTAGTTCGAATAACGAAAAAGTTTTATTAATTTTCATTTTATTTTAATTTTAAATTTAATTTTTTTAATAAATTTTTTATAAAATTTTAAGTAAATCGTACTTCGTACATC